GTTTTTGGCGTAACAAAACCACCCTGTAAGTTAAGAATGCTGCCAGTTAAAACTTGAGTTAGGCTCGAATCAACACGTGGCTTTACTGAAAAGATCGGTCGGAAAAGTGTCAGAGAGGTGTTCCAGAGAGGTAATCGATCCAGCTAGGGGATTTCTTAGAACTTTGTCCAATCGATTGCGATGACTATTCACTCAATGATGAAATAGCACTCAAAGATTGGTTTGGAACATCAATTTATAATCTTGAATTTATAATAGTTCTTGGATATTCATTAATTTTCGTTTCGACCTATGCGGTCTAATTCTGGAAGAATGTCCATGGATTTCCACAACAATGGTACTGCGTTGCCAGGTGTTCTCGACACCTTCACCAGATTGTCGGACCACTTAGTAGGAGGCCTGCTTACTCTACGTTTTCCGGTTGGACTCGTCACTCGAGAACTTTTCTGCATGAACCTTTAAGATCTATTTCAATAAAATTGTTTGATTGTTTAAAGTTTTATAGTCGGCGTGGAAGTGAAGTGTACCTATTCTGTGGCTCACAGTTAGGGGTTGCAATCGAATATTCGAATATTCGAATATTCGAATTTAGATTCCAAATTTAATATTCGAATAGTAAATTAACATGTATTCGAATATTCGAATATTAAAAAAATAAACAGAAAAGATAGAACGAAGACAACTTAGTGTTTGCAAATGTGGTCGGAGGCATCAAATACATATCACCAACTAAAAGAACTAGTCATTGATGCTTCCGACTTCATTGGTGAACACTAAGTTGTCTTGCGAAACCAAGGTTCCAAATTACCTGAAAGAGACAACTATTAAGCAAAGTCAGCTAACGATGCTGAAGACGGCGGACTGAACGTCAGCAAAAGCCGAGGTTCTGGGTGAGATCGAAAAGATTTATGGACAGCTACATACCTCCAAACCTGTTAATAACTCCGCAACAGATGCAAGAGCTAGGTTAACGCGACACTATACCAAAGACATCCCGTATATCAATCAGCCTATACGAGATTGATTAGGAAGGCTCTCAAACAGCTAAAGAACAGCAAGGTACCGAGTGATGACGGAATAACCTGGAAGCTTCTGAACGCGGGTGGAACACCGACACTCGTTCCGTCTTACTCTAAGGAACAACGCCAGAGGCATGGGATAGAAGTGTGGTGATGCTTTTCTTAGACTATGAGAAGGCTTTTGATTCGATCGATGCTTAGGCAGTGCTGCAGTCTCTTTAGCGGTGCCGTATTGACTATCGGTATATCGAGATGCTGAAATGCCTGTACAGAAACGCTACCATGTCGAGCCGAGTACAGGAGCAGAGCACGAGGGCGATTCCTCTGCAGCGAGGCGTGAGGCAGAGAGATGTTACATCTCCGAAATCATTGACCGCTGCATTGGAAGACGCTTTCAAGCTCTTTGAATGGAAAGGATTAGGCATAATTACCTTTCAATAGCGAATACATCACTCAGCTTCGGTTTGCTGACGATATTGTGGTCATGGCAGAATCGCTTGAAGACCTCGGCACAATACTCGAAGACCTTAATCGAGTCTCTCAACAGGCTTCGGATGAACATGGACAAAAGGAAGCTTAGGTCTAACGTTCATGTTTCGGTTGGAGCTCGATTCTCGAGACTGTTGTGCTGTGTTGACAAGTATGTCTTCCTCTGACAAACGATTCGGCTAGGTAGATTAAATTTCGAGAAAAAGGTAAATCGTCGAATCCAACTCGGCTGGGCAGCGTTCGGGAAACTATACAACATCTTTTCGTCCAAATACCTCAGTGCCTAAAGACGAAATTCTTCAATCAGTGTGTTACCAGTGATGGCTCACGGCTCGGAAATGTGGCCTCTTACAATAGGCTTTATAAAAAATAAAAAAAAAACCGACTCCAAAAAACCTACACTAAAACGTAGAAAAATAATTACTAATTACCTACTTATTTATTAGGACGAATTATTAATATTTATGTAGGTATACCATGATTGATACTTCAGTGTGTTACCAGTGATGGCACACGGCTCGGAAACGTGGCCTCTTACAATAGGCTTTATAAAAAAGCTCAAAATTGCACAGCGTGCTATGGGGAGGGCTATGCTCAGTGTTTCTTTACGAGATTGAATCAGAAATGAGGAGATCCGTAAACGAACTAAAGTCGCTGACATAGCCCGACGGATTAGCAAGCTGAAGTGGCAATAGGCAGATCACATAGTACGCTGAAATGATGGCCAATGGGGCAACAAGATTCTGAAGTGGAGGCCACATACCAAAAAGCGCAGCGTGAGACGTCCACCCACAAAGGTGGACCGAAGACCTCATATAGGTAGCGGGAAGGCGCTGGATACAGGCCGCTGCCAACCAATCATTATGGAAGTCATTGGGAGAGGCCTATGTTCAGCAGTGGACTTCCTATGGCTGAAATGATGATGATGATGAGAATTTTATAACTGTTTTAAAAAATATATTGTTATATAGTTAAAACATAGTTCCTAAAGCAATAAAACCAGCAATAAAACATTGATAATTTAAGTACTTTATATTTTTTTTGAAAGTATTCGAATATTCGAATAATATTCGAATATCACTGAAAAAATATTCGAATATTCGAAATAGAAAACTATCGAATATTTGCAATCTCTACTCACAGTCACAGCTATTGTATGATGTTATATAAGATCAATATTTGAGTCAGTGCGTAATAAATATTTATTTAAATGGTTTTATTAGCAAATAGAATAGCAAGTCTGCGCGGACGCAGGTCTTAGGTCATCGTGACGTCATCGCGGAAGCCTCGCTTTCCAAATCGAAAGCGAGTGGAGTGGCGAATCGAATATGCCCATGGCTATATTTAGACGTTTGTTTCCTCGTACATCCACTTGCGAAAGAGCCTGTTTATTATAATCACTTCCTCGGACTCGTTTAGATTTTTCTTAGGATTCTAGTATCTCAAAGTACCTACCTATTGCATAAGTAAAACGATACAAGCATTAGGTAAAACTTCACGATAGACATTACCTACTGTAATTGCGTTCTGCGGAGCGGTCTTTCTTTGCCCTTTTAGGCCATAAACAACACCTAACCGGTATTTTCTTATTTTCCTACAAAATGTAAACAAGTGAACTTCAGCCGAACATTAATCAACCCACAAACACCTTTTAGCCACAAAAATAAGTACTATTGAGTTTTTATTCTTTCTTTAAAAAAAATAGGTTTAATTTCAATAATTTATCAAAGCCTAAGTATTTCTTATAGGCTTAGATTAATAAAACCTAGATAGATAGTCAGTGCACGAAAAGTGAGGCAGTTTTTAGGGAGCCGGCACGGCTTACTCTTAAACGTCACATGAACTGTCAAAGTGAAAAATTGGTAAACATGTCCGACGAATTTTATTAATTAAAACGGTTTGTGCTGTGAAAGGGTGTCTTAAATACATCAGAAAAACGAAAGAAAGTGACCAGTGTTACATTTCATAAGTAAGTACTACAATTCGACGCGTATTTTGCTTGAATTTTGCTTTCAAAAATTAAATACGGGAATGATACCAGTAACAAGAAAATTTATTTCCCAATTGTTCGCCGTACAAATACACTTCCTTTTTTTATGAAATCGAGACTTTTAAGTCGATTTATCTTATTGTTATTAGGTAGGTACTTTGAATTCAATAAATAAGTAAGTACATGATGCGTTTTGTTTTTGTTAATTATAAAGTAATTAAAAACGTATTAAAAATTTCCCTACTTTCGGGAAAATCGCCTTCACTGTCTACACTCCCCAACAAAATTGACACTAATGACATAAGATTTTTGCCTCACTCTTGACGAAGCGTTTGTATGAAGACTATCCATCTAGGTTTTATTAATCTAAGCTTATAGGCAAAAGCCGAGGAGAGTGGTTAAGGTCAGCGCGGCCTTTACCCGCCCAGAGCCCCGATTACGGTAATTTTTAACGTCAACAATCCAGAGACGCTTCTCGATTCTGCGATACGATTGGTCGTTCAACAGCGTACGTCAGCTGTTTTGACCAATCGTATCGCAGAATCAGAAACGCGTCTGGATTGTAGACGTTATAAAAGTTACCGTAATCGGGGCTCAGAGCCTGCAACTGGAACTAAATTAATTAAATTTAAACGCGTAGAATAAATGGGAGAATGTTTATATTCTTTCCCACAAGAACAACTTGATGAAACAAGAGCTGGTAATGCTTCATTATCATTAATAAACAAAGTCATGCGTCAGCTAGTAAGTAATGGACCTCGGTAAATAAGAATTTCGAATACAGACTTACATTAACAAACCATCGTGTGTTCTTCTACCCCTAATAAGTATTCTATTTTATCCAAAACTATTCGTCACCATCATCATCAGCCTAATTGAATTCTTCAGGCAGATTCACCGCACTGCTGGCTGGATATAGTAGGTCGGTATAGGTCATCTACAATACTGCAATCTGCACGTCACTGGGCGCATCCTCATCTGCCTACTCAACAAAACGTAACTTGTAAGTTCTGTGGTAAAAACTTACATTTCATGGCAACTTACCTACCTTCTTTCCCCAACATCATGAATCCAAACTTAAAAGTGCAAAGTTTATGTAGATATTTAGGTATAACTTGCGATTACAAGTTATAGTGAGTGAGTTTTTGTAACCTATTATAACCTAACACGTCAAACTTTTTGATACTGCTACCAACTAGGTACGATAGTAGATAAAACGCCTTGCTCTTTTTTCTTAGGATATATTTCGTATTAATTATACTAATTGTCAAGTTACGGATAATAAATTATTTTTAAGTTAGCAAGTTTCAGCAAAAGTGGAACACTCCTCGGGCTAACGTCATCGTCGCGTGGCATCGTGAGGAAGCGACGCGGCACTCGCTCGCCCGCGGAGCAGCCGCAAGCCCTGCCGTCTCGCTCCGATGTACCTCCGCCGCGACGCGCGAGCAAGACGGAGCACCACGCTGACAACGCAAACTTTACTCGAATTCCAAGTTGGCGATCCGACACAACCCGTTCAGTCGCTCCCCGGCACCGGCACTGAGCGTCCGCGTTTTCCTCTCCCAAAACTAACTTTTCGTAAGTTCGACATGACGTTACGTTGCGTCCTCGCGGTGTTGGCGCTGGCCTGCTCCGCGCTCGCGGGCCAGGAGGTCACCGAACTCAAGGTGGACGTGGTCAGCGTGCCCGAGGGCTGCACCACCAAGTCCAAGCACGGCGACATGCTGACCATGCACTACACCGGCACCCTGGACGACGGCCACAAGTTTGACTCCAGGTAAGTGCACATTCGCAGCTTCCTCAGCGAGTTGCAACTCTATGCTGGCGGGCGAAAACCTCTTTTACCGTGTGAGAGCTGCAAAGATATTTATCTGTGGCCGGTAGTCTTAAAACTTAAAAAACTGCGAGAAACTTGAGCTGAGTTTTCCATGAAGTTGTTAATTTAAGTAGGGCATGCTACGTGCATATTTCAACAGGTGCGCATTATTTTGGATTGGGCTCGGTCGTGCCTTGAGGTTCCTTAACCTCATGATTTCTAAATATATCGTTGTTTTGCCACGTTAGTGGAATCAGTTGACACGGTTTGTTGTGGAGATGAGCGTGAGCCGTGAGCGCGCGGGTCTCGGAGGATTCCGGCACCATTCCGGTTTCTCGCGAATATCGTGGATGCGTGAATGAATGACTTGTGAATTTAATTGTTGACTTAGCATTCGACACCGCGTCCGCTTGACCTGATTCACGTAGGTGGACGACGACATTCAGTTTGCTTATCAAGACAGAACTGATTTTAACCGAATCATCAATCATTTCTTTCGTACATAAAGTACATTTCTTACGATGATTCCTTACTAACGTGAAGTAAATTCCAATTGGTTTTACAAGAATTTAAAGAAGAAACTGCGGAGTATTTTTTTGTTACTAATCACCATGCTTAAGGCTAAGCTTTAATGAATTATTCTACAAGCGAATAATTAAATGCACTCTTTTACGAGTATTTGTTTCTCGGATGAATAAACTTACAAACTGATACCTACCGAAGTAAGGTAGGTAGTTTAAATGCACTTAAATTAAATGTAAAACGATAACACAACATGATACCTATAACCAATTTATTGATGACCGACAAAATATATTTTTTTAAAGTGATCATCATATCGTAACTTCCAAGGGATTTGCATTGTCTCTAATCCATGTGAACGGGTTTCTAATTGGAAAAGGTTCTTTAAGTTTAATTCGTTTTCCGAGAATAGTTAATCGCCTCCAAACATAATATAATAGACATTGAATTATTTCTGCAGTTTTGGAAATTAAACACACTACCTGCAAAATGCTTTAAAAAATACTCATTAACTAAATTATACGTTTCAAAGTAAAACCTTTTGCAAGAGATATAAAAGACATCTAAAGTTCAATGCAGCGTAGTCATAATCAAACAAAACTGATAAAAAAATAAAATTATCTTAATGATGTTCCGTTTTAGCTCCGGGCACATCCTAATAGATAAAACAGTTCGCTGGCAATGTAATTAACGATATATTTACTGCAGCCGCATACAAAAATAACTTTTACAAATATGTTTTTCAGGAGTTGGTTTAGGAGATGTATTTTTGACACACATGACGAATTCCAATTCTCGCTCACATCATTACTAATTCGCAGAATGTATTAATGATAAAGAAACATCCCACTAGAGCTGCGGACAACCTATGCCTTTTTACAAGCTTTTATTTAATTTATTGACCGCCTTATTCGATCCCCTGGACAACTTGTGCTCTGCGGTTTTACAGAGCTTTATCAGCTTCGGAAAAATGATATTGTGATTCTAACCATAAATTATCAGAAGTATAAATTGCTACATTGTTGAGTCTGTCATTCCTTCTCGGTCACTGTGTATGACTGTAGCCGTGGGTCAGCACGTCATGACCTGGGTCGCACTCGTACGTGTCATCTAAAATGCCAATTAGCTATAAATTCAAACAGCGGGAGCTATAAAATGTTTTCGTTATTGGCCGATAAAAATAAATATACATGCCAATACTGAATGACCTATTTAATAATAGCATTCAGCTTTCCATTCTATGAATTGATGACCAGCCGTTTGTATTTTAACAAAACATCAATCTTCAACGTGAATTGCTGTCCCATGGAAGTCGGGACCGTGTTCAATGCGCGGAACAAGATTCTTATTCCATGTTTATTTTTTCAAAAAACATTCGGTCGCCTCTGAAACCAAAGGAACTAAAATATTCCCAGTTCTGCGAATCGAGGGAAACAATTGGCCCAATGTCCCTACAAATGGTCACAATAAAATAGCTGCCTTCCCCTTTCCACGTGACGGAGACGACGGCAATTGGACCTTCGTCGGGTTTATTGTCGGATCGGAGAGGTGCGCGCTCCGCACAAACAATGATGTCATCGACGTAAACTGCCTTTTTGCTGCTGAGGTGAATGAAGACTGTTTCATCCACCACCGTACACAATGCCTTCTCACGTCACACCTGTCAGTGATGCTAAACATAATGTTTATTCACTAGGTACTAGGTAATTCTATTGCAAATGACAAAAAACAGTTTCAAAAAGCATTAATGAAATATGCAAATCTCGCTATAAGAGCAAACTAACTTCGAGCTGGTATTTTAAACCATTTTGCTGAATCTTTTTCCAGATGTCGTCATAAAGTCCTTTTGAGGTGTCACATAAGGAATAGTTAGTTAAATTAGCAGCTAGAACGGTTGGAATACGTCTCCATCATTTGCATTTTAAATCCAAATTTCTGCAACGAAGCAGTCACGTTTAGGTTTTGTGAGAAGATAAAAATATCCCTCACCGCTAAGAGCAATGAACAGCCTTTCTCATAAATAATGGAATATTAATTTCATTTTATCAACTCCTCAAAACTGCGGGAAAGTTGTCCTATCCCGAAAGTGGCCGGGACAAAGTGCGGGACGCAGGACAATGTAGGCGTCGGATAAATAAATTAATTTATTAAACCGAGCAGTTGTGAAGTTCCTCGCAAGAAACTGCAAAATTGGAGTTCATACATTCTGGGCGGCGTACACACGATTTTCGCGAGCGTGATTAGGCAATGAAAAGTTTCGTATAGCGCGGTGAAGTTTCGTTATTATTATGGGCTTGAGAATTTAACCTTTAATTGCCGGGCGCCTCGCACCTGCCGAGCCCTCTCCCTGCGGTTACCACTTTATCGTTCTTCTTCGCGCTCCGGCGAATATTTTTCTCCCTTCCTCTCGCTGCTCCTAACCGTAAAATCTGACGCGATTTAAATAAATTAAACAGAGAAAGTATCATCTCGCTCGTAACACTTACACCATAAAGTTAAATTGTAAGCGAGCAGACGCTTCAAAGTCTATTGCGAAAAGATCTTAGACTCCGTTAAAAATGTATGTGATAAAGAAAAACTGAGCGTACCCGGCTGCCGTAATGACGGAACTGTGTTGCGATTAGAGGTGCGTCAAAAATTCAGCGCGTGTCATGAGGCGGCATGACCCGCGCGTGTGCACCGACCACGCGCTCGCGCCTGGTGAAGACAGCAGAGTGTACATTTCTGCTGCTACATAGCACCTATTTATTACTCGTACAACTATATCGTACATAAACTGTCACCGAGTGTTTAGCTTGATAGATTGATGATCATCGAAAGGCCTCAAAGGGGCGCAGCGCTCGCCCCATGTGACACGTGAACGGTGATGATGTGATCGTGTCACGAAGTGACATTAAATTTTTCTCAAATTTCGAACTAGGTAGGTACGTACGTAGTAATGTTTGCATACCTACCTACTCGTACTTTCTAACTAGTGACAAGTCACGCATGCCACACGCCACGTCACGCCACGTAGGCAGACTTAGGCCATAAATATGCGGCACAGCGTTGCCGACATTTTTATTACACATTTGAAAGAAAAATAAACCAATGGGTTAATGTAACCATAACTGGTCGAATTTAAAGTTTAATAAAGTAGTAAGTAGTAAGATTCATATTCTGATTTGAAGTAGGTATTTTGTGAAAATTAACATAAAAATAAGTTCGCGGTAAAGAGAGTTTTTTCTTTACTTGCCCCGCAATTGAACACTCGATTCGGCGTAATTAAGTAGTTAATATTCATGCCCGCTCGGTCTGCACTTTCCGTTTTATAGTGATACAATGTTAATGTTGATAAAAATTCAAGTGTGTTGTCCGCGGGAGGGAGGGCCAAGTTCCACTTTCTACCAGATTATCATAATACAGGGCGGTTCATTTCTTATGAATGGCTGTCTGTCTAAATAAGATTGAAATCTTAAAGACTGCGTCACGTAAAAATATTGTATTTTTTGTGTTTTCTCTTGAGACCTAAGCTTGGTCTTTAGTCTCCAGAAATATTTAAAAAGTTTCTCTATCCATGAGGTTGTAGATCCTGGCTACACAGGAGTTGCAGTGGTGGGAACGAGAGACGGGAATAGTCCCGTTATCCATGAGGTTGTACCCTAAACATCCTGTACCTACACAGCGGGTGCTGCGGCCGTTACTGGCAATTCGGCAACTTTTAATTGTGCGGAACCGCCAGCGACACTAATTACCAACGTTTTTAGCTGCATTTAGAAACCCTGATGGGTAAATCGGAGTTTTTTACATTATAATTGCAGCTCGCGAAAATTTGCGACCAAACTACAGGGGACAATGGGCGACTTTCCACCACATGTCACTAGTAAAGCTCCTAATTTAGAAGCTATTCTTATTGTTTGTTCCTTTTCGCTCTATATCCGAGTGAAACAGTATTTTTATTGATTTAATGATATTATACATGCGAATGACATGAAAACATATTGTTCTTCTCATGATAAATGAAAGCATAACCAATCCAATCAAATGAAACTCCATGGGCATTCAATAATTCGAGCAGTAGGTACCTGTTTATGGATGAGTGAGAAAACTTCTCCAAAGTTAATTTACCAGCGTAATCCAATTCGTGATACACCTTGAATTTCCATTTTCTGTCTGTCTGCGATGTCAAGAGCTGTCCAAGGCAGAATGGATTATGCGAGTTGTCCGTAATCCCTGTGGCCGCGTCTCCCCTGCTCTTCGGATATCACAACTTACGGTAATCCCGTTAAACTTGCCCTGGGAGCTTGACTCACGACTAATAAATTTACTGATCAACCCTTTGCAATTGAAAATGCAGTTCAAAACTGTTTCAACTTCAGACCATAGGATCTGAGGTTTCAACTTACTCGTAGTATGATTGAGAGATACTTCTCAATTTATTTATTTCTTAAAGTTACACG